CCGGGCGATATCCTGCACCTCAATCTCCTTCGCGTCCCCTCATTCACCTCCTGGGAAAAAATAGACCATCTGCATTCGTCCAATCATGCGCATTGCATAGTCGCAAAGTCTGCCCTAAAAATATTGACGATGCCACTTTTTAATTAGGGTAGGGGTCTGCAATAATTGTGAGGAACAATTCACTTAAGGTGGCCATATAGGCGACTTGTGCACTTGCAGTTGCTTCCGTGCGAACAGTATCTTGCCTTGGTTCTCAACCGAGCATTTCGCAGTGAAAGCTTTTATTGTGGCCATTCAACAAAAGCTTTCGTCGCCGCCCTACAGAACAAGGAACCCTCCTCGGCAGCAACATTCGAAGAATTATAGCGCCTTCTGTTGATCTTCACCACTCTACAAACAAGTCTTTTCATGCCCAAGCTGGCGTGCCAGTCAGCGATCGGAGCGCAGCGCACGTTAGTCGGTAGGATGATCGGTCGAAAAAGGGAATTCCATGACAAACTGGGGATGCTAATGCTATAATGAAGACGAAAGGAGATGACTTCTCTTTTTGTTGTTTAGCATATGGAAATTGAGTGTACTGGGTTGCGAATGAGTTAGAGTTTTGTAAACAGATACTCCCAAAAATGTGTGCTGGTGTCAAACTTTCATGAAGCCAAAGTACAAAGGGTCGCAATTATTCTCTGGAAAAATGTGCTGTGACATTTCGGGGAAAAAGTTGGCCTAGTGCAATATTCTGCCAAGTTTCATGAATTTGCAGTATTATATATGCACAGTGTCATGAGTAGAGGCCGGATCTTTAGGCACTAAAAAGGCGTGTTTTAGGTGCCAAAGACAGGCGGGTAAAACACCATTATAGGCCCTCAAAATCAAAATATAACCACAATAAATTTCTACAAAAATTGAAATATCCCAAAACAACAACGTCGGTGACTTGTATCTACGGCAAGAAGCAAAAAAAAAAAATGATATTCTTTAAGATAGCAGAAAGGTACCAACGATTCGACATAGGCATGCATTTCCCACGCGATTTGCAGTATGTGGTCTTTCATTTTATTGTCTAGCATTGTGCGTCAAGTGTCCATCATTCAATTAACACTCTCCTGGGTCTCTCGTTTCGTTGTGGCTGGGAAGGGCAGTGGAGGAGCAAATAACCAGACCACTGTCAAGAGGGTTGCTAGGTCTAATCGCGTAGGACCAATTTCTCCCCTATCGATGAACACCTTAGAGGGCCCCTCTCTAGGTTTGGGCATTTCGATGTGACTAGCGTAACGGTGCACTGGGCATTTTGGATCATTCCTGTTAATATTTGCAAAATTAAAGTCGCGGAAAAATGCTCAATTTCTAATGAATGCCACTTGCCCTTCTCGAGGGCGTGCGCCCCTAGATCTTGGGAGTAACGTACAGCAAGAAACGCTGCTCCTTTACGTTGACATTGGTGGGCTGACGTCACATACCGCACGCTCTTCATCAGAACTTTGTTAAATGCTAGCTATATCTAAAGAAAGAGACGAAAAATGTCCTGTTTCCTGATTATATCCTGAATTTTAAACTGTACCTCGTGAAGAGGGTTGCACGTGACATTACTCTACTTGGCATGTGCAATTTGTGTGTTCTGTTGTGTAGCATGAATGAGGAGTAGTTTGGTTTGGGCTAGCTGCTTCATATCGTTTTGAAATGGAAGTGCAAAGACAAAGGGAAAGAACGACAGCGCTCTTTGTCTCTATGTCTTTTCTTTCTTTTCCCTGTGTCTTTGCACTGCCTTTCAAAATCAGTATAATGAATAAAAGCTGAGGAAAACAATAAAACACGCAAATAGAATCTCAGCTCATTATTTTTATTTTTATTTTGAATAGCCTCGAGATGCTATTCACTAATCGGCCCTCGTTTTGGGTCCACCTCGGTGGACTGGTCACTATAGGGTGCTCCGCTGCTGACCCGAATGCCGCGGGTTGGATTGTGGCAGTGGCGGTCACATCTAGATGGAGGCGAAAAAGTCGATGCGTGTGTACTGCACGATTTCAGTGCACGCTAAAGAACACCAGATGGTCAAAATTTGTGGAGACCTCTACTACGGGATCCCTCATATTCAAATCATGGTTTTTTGTGTAAATACACACATACTGTCACTGCTATTAACACTATATACTCTACTACTACTACTACCCAATTTCGCTTGCGTTCGTCTTCTCCTCGTTCCTTCATTGTGCCTTTGCCAACCCTCACAACGCTAAGCTTGTGTTTGGTGTGTGGTTTCTGACCCCAGTTTCAGCGGAGCGATGTGGTGCATGGCAGTCACAATACATGATCTTTGCCAGCCTCTCCTAAGTTCACGCACCGACTTATCTATCCCACAAAAACTGGTAATACACAACAGAGAACGCCAAAACATATCACAACATCGATGGCGTACGTGCACAAGGAGGCTGGAGCACGTCATGCGCGCGTGACCTTGCTTACACATGTTTTTCTTGGTCCGTATGCATCATGTGATTCTCCAGCCCCGATACTGAAGAGAACTGGGAAGGAATGAGGCTCGCGATAGCTACATGGGACAAGGGATTCACGCTTGCTTCTTTGCATAATGCTTTGGTAGCTCGTAGCGAACCAATTTAAAAAATAACTGTGGTAGAACGTTTTTCATTGGGCATGCAAAAACTTCTAGTGTCTAAATACAACTAATGTCACCTAGAAAGAGATGCTTAAAAAGTAAATTACAAACAAAAGAAAAGCCGCATGCACATCACATTTTTTACCCGAAGGCACTGCAGCAGATGGGTTACTATGTCAAAGAAAACACGCCTTCATTGACACAACACACTTTGTTCTCTTTATACAAGCCATTTCATTCTGTCATGAAACTGACAAACAATAAATTAATAAAAAATTATAACTGATATGACATTTTAAAATCTTAATTACCATTGCACGAAGAGGAGTGTTTAGGTACATTCATTTTTGAATGCAAGTTTTACCATGAAATGCTTGACATAGGAGCTTTGACTGCAGTTTAAATCGACGTGATGATAGTAATTCCCATCCTAGTTCATTTTTAATAATGTTACAGCTGTCATTTATGAGTAATGGCTCGGGACAAACCTTGAAGCCCTGTTCTCTATTTTCTCATGTTTGTCACTTAAAGGCATATGACAAAGGATCTCATACGGAACAAGTGTATTTAAGCATACGGTGCATGTATGCTAAATACACCGTTGATTGCAAACATGCCGGTGCCTGTCTCAGGCTTCGCTGTATAAAGTATAACGATTTGGCGACCTTCGCCACCGCTGAATCAACAAGAGCATTCCATGAGTGGCCCTCCATGGTTTTTCATTCGTTCTCCAGCTACCTGCGGCTGCCCAGAAAAACCTGCTCTTCCTTTCCCACCACAACACCCAGGTTTTCAGGGCGGTTCTTCAGTTCCTTCACGGCACTGGACAGCTGTCTATAGAAGGCGGTCGCCATGTCCTCGGCCATAGACGTCCCTTTTATTTTCTTTCTCCATCTTTAATTGTCTTTCCTCCTTCTCCTGCAGACGCTGAGACGTTTTTTCACTTAGGACTGTAGAAATAGTGTCTTTTTCACTCCTCATGCTCCTCTTCGAATCGCTCACAGCGTGTCAGCTTTGTCTTCGTTGAACCTATTAGTGTTTGGAAATATCAATGTTGCCTTTTTTACATGAATAATGGTTTCACACCACGCTCGAAAACAAAATTTGGGCTTGAATAGCGCTCATATAGGCGCTCATTTGGAAAATAGGCATTTATAGGCACCTATAAGCATTTAGGCACGAACACCCTAAATGGGTATCTATAGGCACTACAAAAACACCATAAAAGCCCTTCTTAACCTCTAATTCATGCTGATATATCAAAATAGCACGATCGGAACGCAAGAAACAAAATAGGAATTTGCCTATAATCCGGTCTCTAGTCATCAGTTAATGCAAAAAAAATGATCTAGTCAATGTTATTTCGTGCCCTCCAAAAATATGTATTATCACTTTCAGGCCATAAGTAGAATGAGAAGTAAGCATGCATTGATGCAGGGAACCTGGAGCACACCATGTGCAACTTCATGTGTTTGCTTTGATGATGACCGATAAAGAAATTACACTGCAAAAAAAAAAAGGAGCCGTTACAAAGTATAATGGCAGGCAGGAGCCATGCATGGGAAGCATTCTCTTGGTGAAGATTGTGTCCACACCATTTCGTGGGCATCAGGACGGATATACGGTAGACTCTTGTTGAAGTGGAACTTGGAGGGTCCAGGAAAATGTGTTCTGTTCAACAGTTTTGATTTCTGAGAAAAGAGCTAGGGTGCAGAATTCAAGTATGAAACCACTCATATCAGAAGCATTTGTTCTATTTAGGAAGCAGTTCTGTTGAAGTGATTCCCTTGAACGAAAAGCTGACCAATGGTTAGGCACATGTGCAAAGACGTAAACAGCCAACCATGAAGAATGCAGTTTTCTCAAGTGCAGCTAGCATTTCTTCAACAAACATAACTCCTTCAATTTTCATTGGCATTAGAACTAGCAAGATTGAATTTATGTGTACCATTAAAATTGCAATGAATGAGTGTTTGAGAAAAAAATCCAGCATTCAATGATTTCATGTCAAGGTGTATATATTTTTAGCATTGATCGAAGAAAGTCCATTGGCCCAATGTCACAATTTCGTAACACCCTCATTTAGAAAAATACAATAGAGCAGCAAAGCTTTTTAGTTTAGTTTATTAGTACAGTGGCAAAATGCAGAGGTACCACTAAATTTTATACTTCGTATGAGTCTCAAAAAAAAAATTGTCCCAAGAGCATTAGGAATTTCAAAATTACCTATATATATATATATACTGTAAGCAAATGTCTCTGTACCGTTAACACAATGTGCATGATGTCTACATGATATTTTTTCTGGTTAATAAGATTTATAGTGTCAAAGCACAAAATTTTCATGGCATTGACAAATTTCCTGTTTTCTTTTTTTTTCCTTTGCAATTAGGTACTAGAGTGCAAACTCGACTTGGAAAAAGCCACGGTGAGGGATGCAGGGTATGTATATATTACAGTATTTTTAACCATAATGAGCCAAGTTTCATCAGTGCATCCTCATGTTGATCTTATGTTGCCGTCACATTTCAGAAACAGCATGGAATTGAAGTGCAAGAAAATGAAAGCCACATTGGAGAACTTTGAGGAGCTTGTGAACATAGCTCTTGTGGAACTTATAGTCCATAATTACATGAAGCCGAATTCTTGTTTCTTAAAACTTTTGCAAGTTGCTAAGCAAGATCCCCTGGTGAGAACCCTTGATTTTTTTCCTGTCATAGCCTTTTTGCAATTGCAGCACTAGGCTACCTTGCTCCATAAAAGCAGTGAAAGCATGATTAAAAAAGATTGATATGGTTTGGCTAAAATTTGATTTTTTCAGACATTTTGTTTGTCTTACTTTTGTCAAATCATTGATGTGACAACCTTGTGTCAAGCTGTATACGTGACCTAAAAGTTGCGGGATCGAATCACGGTTGTGGCGGTGGCATTTTTGATGGAAGCGGGAATGTTTGAGGCCCGTGTACTTAAATTTAGGTGCACGTGAAAGAACCCCAGGTGGTCCAAATTTTGGGAGCCCTCCACTACAGTGTCTCTCGTAATCATATCGTGGTTTTGTGATGTTAAACTCCAGAGATTATCGTTATTAAGCTGTATACGTGCTTCCCCACTCTAAAATTGTGTACAGTACTCATGAATTGAAACAGACAATTTTAGGCTATGTAATGTACATACTATTGTTTCCATCATCTTTAATTCAGGTAACATCAACGTAATTTTGATTCGATCGCATATATCGGAGCCATACGTCAGTGAACTCATTGATGAGTTGACTCACTCAAACTAATATCGAGCCATGATTCGGAATCTGAGTGAGTGTGAGAGGGCAATTATTGGTGAGCTTGAGTCCTAGTGAGCCTGGTTGAAAAAAATTTCGGTGAGTCTCGGTCCGAGTGAGTCCCAAGTGCGAGATATATTTCTTGAGTGAGTCTGAGTGAGTTCCATTTTTTTTCTGCCCACCTGTGATCAGAGCCAACATTAAATTAAGAGACCGGACTCATTATGACATGACGTATTTATCTTGAGCAGGTGCTCATATCTGTCGAGATTCTGAAAATTTTGATGCCACTTCTGAATCCTTGATTACTGTATTTCTGTAGGAATGACGCACGTTGGAATGATGTCATACTGTGTTTGTAGTAGTTTTGTGGTGTGCTATAAGTACTATATAGGCGTGCCCTAATAAAGGTACACAAGGCAAGACTTTTTTTGATATGAAATGACAGGTTAGACTTGTGTAAAATCATGAACATTAAGCATTATTTACTGAGATTATAATAAGCAAATACAGTGGAACCTCGATTATCTGACCACCGTATTCTGGACATCATATAATCGAAAAACTAAAAATATAGGTAGTGATGCACTGCCTTGCCCCCCAAAACAGGTTAAAACCACCTAATTGAGGCCACTGCATCACCCAGCACTTCTCCAAGCAAGGTACATGACATTACTTTTAAAAATGTCAGCTAAAAATTTAATTGAAGGAAGTGTGAGCGAATCTCAACTCTAAAAATTTTTAATACTCTGCGCATCGTTTTAATAAATTGAGTTCGAAAAGTGCCCGTGCATCAAAACGAAACCGATACCTCGTTGGCAACACCAATCAGTGATGTGCTGCCTTAATATTGAATGCTCATGTGAACAGAGAGTTTTTTGCACCGTGTCATCTCCTTTTTAAATGTGCAAGGCCTGAAACAGCGAGTAGCACAAAGAAAGAACTTCAGCTGCATGTCAACCAGTAAATTTTTCCGTGAGTCGAAAATAGGAAAATACTATTCAGACCATGAAAATGAGCTTGCTGACTAGCTTAACCTACTCCGTGTAGATAAAGCTTGTTAAAATAGCAGCCCTGGAATATGCACAAAATCCAGAACGGATATTAAAGTTAAGATAACTGGATCACTGAAAAAAGTGAACTTTCAAAAGAATAAATTTTTCTTTCTAATGAGGCAAATTGTACCTGTCTCGCTTTCTGTCTCTCTCTGTTTTTATATAGGCATGTCAGTTTTATAGTAAACTGCTGATTACACAGATATTCATTTTAAACATTTATAAACTTCGAGAGCGTAATGTCTGAGTTTTTAAAAAATGGGTAATTTTCTTATCGAACGCTGCCACATAGTCGTCGTAATATGGAGGTTCAGCATAAAATGGGGTCGTGCAACCAAAGCTTTAAATGCAATAATTTTATGGGGGTTTTGCAGGACCAAACCAATTCATAGTAAAATGCAGGTCGTCACATACCTGAGAGATGTATAATCAAGGTTCCACTGTATAACTGGCCCTAATTGTTAATGATTAGTTATTACATTTGATTTTAAACTCTTCAATGAGATGGTAGTGGTGCCTGCAGAAAGGAGGAGTAAAGGAGGGACAGCCACTCTGCTGGATTCCCCATCACATATATATTTTTGCATTTGTGTCATGCAGTGCAGTTATAACATGATTGATATGTGGGGTTTAACGTCCCAAAACCACCATACGATTATGAGAGATGTCGTAGGGGTGGGCTCCGGAAATTTCGACCACCTGGGGTTCTTCAACGTGCACCCAAATCTGAGCACACGGGCCTACAGCATTTTAGCCTTCATCGAAAATGCAGCCGCCGCAGCCGGGATTCGATCCCGCAAACTGCAGGTCAGCAGCCGAGTACCTTAGCCTAACTATGGGGTTTGTAGCATGTGAAAATTGGTGTAAGAGGGTTTAGCTCCAATCACTTCAGAAAACTTTAAAGCTTGTTGTTTCCGTCAGCAAAAAGCTTTTACTAGTTTAGTTGCTTGTACTATAAGCCTAGTAATCTTCATAATAATGTTGACTTATGTCCGCTTGATGAGCCCTCAATCCTTTGTATTTGGGGTGCCACGTTTGTGCCAGTTTTGTCTGAATTTTTTTCCTGACCTCGGAACTGACCCCCGAACTGCCACAAACGTGGAAGTCCAAGCTTTCACTTACACTTGATTGGTACTGCACTTGAGTGCAGCTTTCATAGTAAAAATGGGCATCACGTGCACAAGGACGACGAGTACCTTGCTTTTTCATGCTCCTTTTTGCTTGTTACTTGTATTATTTAGTTATAAACATCCCTATTCTTTTTCGCGAAGCCTACCTAACAATTCTAGCTTGTAGTATTTTGGTATCATTGGCTATTGACAACATTGTGTGCAGTTTAGGCTTGCTTACACGTTTGCGGCATTCAGGACTAGGAAGTCCAGCTTTCTGGGTATTCTAAAAAGTGTAGTATTCTTTTTTTTTATTAATTTACTGCAAAAAAAAAAACTTTTAGAGCACCTCAAGTCCTTAAAAAGGTTTTTGATTATGGGGCCGAGAGCTCAAAGACGAGCAAATTCGTGACATTCTTTTTCAAAACAAATATCTAAGTGGAAGCCAAGCTGAAAACTTGGAAGAGTCAAATTGGATAAAAGAGTATATTATGCCAGAGAGACAGCCATGCATGGATGGTGAAAGCTCTATAAACAGTGAGGATGAAGAAATTGAACTTGCATGTAGTCTGATGAACAAACAAAACAATGGTAGTACTGGGTGAAGGAGGATTTCAACAAAATAGAAAAATCAGAAAGCAAAAACAATACAGAGGAAATCAAGTGCTTTTAAACTTTAAATGCCTAATGAAAGCTTTCAAAAGGTCAGTGCATTGTTGTCCAATTGTCAACTCCACATTGCTAGCTGCAACAAATGTGGCAGTAATGAAGTTCTTACAAATTGTATAAGTATTGATGTGAGCTTCTTTCTAAGAATTACTTAGAAAAAAAACTGGCTGGAAATATATTTTTCAGCTACGTACACTGCACAGATTGTATGTGGGAAACAAAGGGTTAATGATAGGGGAGTGATTTTATCACCTTTTTCACTCCAGAAAAGAGAGTGCAGTGTGGACGGCTTCACTCATCTGCCCACCAACAACAGTGCAGCCAACCTGTCTGAACTCTACAAAAGTAAAGCGGATGATTTTTGTGAATCTGTGGACACAACTTACAGCATAGCGCATTTAGCTGCTGGCTGTACGACAGATGTTAGATGTAAGTACTAATTGGTGCCAAGGCTATTCTGCCGTCACTGTATATGTGCTCTTTCGGGCTTGGTAATTGTCATGGCTTAGACATATCTTTTGAGATTCTAAATGCGGCCTATCAGCAGTAAAGAATCCTCGAAGTTAAGAATCCTCGCATGGCTTAGCAGGTAAAGTGTTGTGCCACTGAGCAAAGCTCTGTAGGTTTGATTTCAGGATAGAACAGCTGAATTTGTGTTAAAAGGACCGAACGCCACTCGGATCATGAGTTAAGATAACACCACTAATTAAAAGGTAGTATATTGTATTGTCTAAAATTAACTGTGTGTTTCTCATTAAATGGGGATATATATTTTTATTTCTATGCTCAGTATTAGTTATGCTGCCTCTCATGGCCGCTTGATGACCCGCCATCGAAACGGAAAATAGTCACACAAAAAAACGGCAGGCCTGCACGAAAGGCACAGCACAGTCGCAGCGAAAGCTAGAAGAGTGGCCTTTCAGAGCCTTCTATAAACACTCATTCGGTCACTGCTGCAAGCCCACTTGCTTGATGCCCACTACGGCATTAATAATAAAAATTTTAGGGTAGCAGGCCAGCACTCGATATGCTATTTTTCGGCATTGTTCTGAAAAGCGTGGCATCTGCTAAGCTATTGCGAGGAATTTTGTGCCAATTGTTTATGCAGTGGCTGACGGCAATGAGAAATTATGCCTGAAATGGGCATGCGCCACAGTTTATAGCTGAACAAAATAAGCTTTCGTAATGTGATGGAGCATTGGACAATCCACTCGTTACGCTATTTCCATTGTGCGATGACATGGTTGTTCTTTCGCTGTTTCAAAATGCATTATAAGTCTTATTAACGCCATTGCTTTTCTGACATCAAGCCTGCCTAAGGCAGGTTTGCAATAAGTCCTAAGCACCGGCGTGGCTCAGTGGTAGAATACTGGGCTGGCACCCAGCGGACCCAGGTTCGAACACCACTGTGTCATTGGTACTATTTTTTTTTCTAATTTCGTGCAATGAGTTACGGACACGGGCGGCGGCGGCGGAAAACTACGGCGCTTTGCGAGACCCAAGTTGTGATCTCATGACAGCTTTTGCTGTAACAACAGTCCCTAGAACCTCGGCATAACCAAACGACACCTGGAAATACCAAAAAGTCAACAGGGACCTTGCCTAGTGTGTATGTACACTGCCTCCAGAACCAATGAAGAAAACAACGCAGAGAGAAGGAATACAGGAAGAACTGCAGAGGAGTGAGAGACAACCACTAAAAAAAGCGCTAGCTTCGGAGCCGGCCAGACAGCCAACCCCTGTAGAAGAGACCGAATGGGTTTTGAAACATAGGGTCAGTTAAAAAAAAAAACTAAAGACTAAACATGGTTGAACAGTCTGTTTATTCATGACATAAACTTGAACAGTCTGTTTATTCATGACATAAATTTTATGTTAGAACAGCGGTGTCTTCCGAGTGGAATTTCAATGTTTTTACCAGTTTTTTGTATTTGTATTTCTGTTCAGTATTCCTTTGAAAAAAGGTGTTGTTATGATAGTGTATTTTCAATGAGAGAATGAGTGATGACTGTGGGAAGCTTAGCAATCAAGCCACCCATGATAAGAAAAACTTTTTTTTTCTTCTGTTGTCAGGTACAGCGTAGCAAATACAGTACACTCTCAGTAAACGGAAATCTGTTAAATGGAACTACTACTGGATTGTAACTATTGCCTCTGCAATGCTTGGTTTCTGGCTTGTACTCTGCAGCCATGTTCCCCTCTCAGTAAACAGAACTCCTGTTAAATGGAACATATTTTCTTGGTCCCTTCAGGTTCTATTTACCGTGAGTCTACTGTGCTTATTGTGGACCATTTTCGCTTGGCAAAACATTCAGAATTACGAAGTTGGTAACCAGTGGCATAACCTGAAAAGGGGCACTCTAAATGCCGCCTGAAATTTTTCAGTTTTACTTGTCTACATATATGCACACATGTGCAAATATACATGCACAAGCATAGACGGGGCGCGTACAGGTCCTTGAAAACCCCTGAATTTCAAGAATACATTTTCAAGGCCCTTGAAAGTCCTGGAATTTTTGCCGTTCTTGAAAATCCTTAAATTTCTTGAGCAGTGCATTCTCATACCGACATTGTGACCTCCTAAATGTGGTATATCGGGGTGTCAACCTGCCAAACTCCCCATTTCTGAAGCAGTGATGCAGCACGTGTGCACACTGTCCCATTTCGCAAAAATGCATGTGAGAAAAAAAAAGTTAGTTTCATGGTGAGGGCAAAGCAGTGAATGCGATAGCAAGAAATTAGAATGTTGCACGAAGAAGGGCAAGCAACTTGATACATGCAACGTGCCGCTTAAGCACAATAGACGCTTGAAAAGAATGCGCACAGGACGGGTGCTAATGAATAACTGCCACAACTTGACACTAAAAGCGTGCTGCTTGAACACCAAGAAGGATGCCAGAAAACAACAGGATGATGTATCCACAGGATTAGTGGAAATTAACCACTTGCACAGTTGTTACTTCTTGGTGTTTGAGCAGTGTGCTGTAAATGTCAAATGTGCACAAGCAAACGCTCTTAATGGAGTGGTGCCATCAAATTTCAAGGCTATACCAAGCGTCGTGTGGGTTTTCTCTGTATGCAAGGACCCTTCTCATGTATGGCCGACTTCAGAAAACGTTTATAATATGTTCTAAGTCACTTTCAAAGTGTACCTAAATCTTCATTCTCCTAATCGAGGACCATCGCGAGTGCATCCAACACTGACAAAGCTCTATAGGAAGGGCAACAAAAGTTGTAGTGACATCACACCAGATCTGTAGTGAGGTGAATGACCTCTGGACTTTGGCCCTATTAGTACCGGCAAAGCATTGTGGCTGCTGCAGCTAGTGGCGCGCTTGTTTTGCAGGTGCTCATGTGGCACATGTGTGTGAAAGCAGACGATACTCAGCGTGATGCATGCATAGCTTCGTGTGTTCACATAACTATGTCACCTACACTGCTAGGTACGTGCCTAACTCGGTGCCCACAAACAGAAACTTAAACATGTTCACATTAATAAGACGATGATAAATTATTTAGTGAGAATAAATTAATCTTGTTGCGTGTATTGTGCCTCTTGGAGCTATAAGAAACACTTGCAGCAAAGAACGTGGAAGCCACAAATATTGTGGCACCACTCCTTCAAGGCCTAATCATACATATGTGTTGAAGCCCGTCAGCTCGTAACTTGTGCCCTTTTCCTATGGATAGTGAGGAAGAGGGTGCAGTGCCACATCAAAAAGCCACACGTTGAAAAGCTGCAATGCTTGTGTGGAGTCGGCCCTTTACAGGTTGGCAATTTTCCTGGTGGGCATAGCAGACTCCTAACTGCACGCCATTCGCGATCTAAGAATCGCCGAAGGCTATACATTTGCCGGGAAAGCCGCCGCACTTTTCGTACAGCTTGGATGAGGCAAAGGAAAAATTATTTTATGCTACTGATGTGCTACTGATGTGCAACTGACTTGGAAATGACAGGCCATTGTGTACAGCAGTAATTACCGCGTTTGAAACCGCATTAACACATAATGTGTATTTAACACTGGTGCACACTGCGGTGACATTGAAATGTTCTCTCACCTGTGCAGAATACCAGCACCACACTTATGCAAGGTAACCAACCGCTCAAACACTCAGTTGAAGTAGCATGAGTGCGTGCAAAGAAATAAGATCCAGCGCATGCTGAAAAGAGGCACTAACTGAACATACCAAAGTCGTCACTCGGCATCGGTCCTGCTTGCTTCTCGCGATGTTGCCGCCGCTGCCGGGTCAGCCAGGTCTGAAAAAGCCAGACAGACTTGCGGCGAAGGTGAAATCTGTGCTCGCATTGCTTTTTAGCCTCTCTAGCACTGTACTTAACACATTCCTGATAGCTTCCTACATTCCCCTTTCAAACTACACTTAAAAAATAACAAAAAGACAACAAGCATGTGTTACATGTTTTTTGCGCGTGCTGTGCGTGAACCTGCAAATTAGTGAACCACCGCTAGCTTTCGTCGCAGATAATGTCAATGAAGTGCATACTTCCTATGCATTTATCTTTGTGTTAGTGAAATTAAATTATGCTGATTGTTCTGAATCTGTATGGTGAACTGCACAGAGCTCATAGTGTAGTGATTTCAATCTCTGTTGTAAGACTTCATTGTGTATTGCAAGTTTTTTTTTTTACTGTTCAGTAGTTGCAGAGCGATGCAAGGAATTGCAATTATTAACATCATTAAGATATATATTTATTTGTTTTTATATGAGTTGAATAACACTACAATGGGCGATTCTCACAGATGCTAGTTGGTTGTCATTTTGGAGGTCCACGCACTCACCACACACGCAAAAAACTTGCTGTACATGCTGTGTCTGAGATCGATACGGCAACTTGGATGTCTAGAGACCTCTGAAGCACTTACTGCGTGCCAAACCCCGGGCAGCAAGACGGCACGTACAAACAGACCTTTGGCGACGGTATCGCCCCCTTGTGGATTGAACCCCCTATACTGGCAAAATATCAACCACTTTTGTAAACTTTAATTGTATTGCGATCTTAAGAAGTCAAGACTAGATTTTTCGTTACAATTGAGATATCCATATATTTATTACAAGTGCCATAAAATTGGTCATTCTTAAAATTTTTGAATTAAAAAGTTCCAACTTTGCATGCCATTATGAGTCTTTGAAAAACTTTGAAAAGATCCTGAAAAGTCCTTAAATATCCTCAAATTTTCGCTTTGGAAACTTTTACGAACCCTGATAAATTACAGCTGATCTCCCCCCTCGCCCGCTTGAAGAAAGTTGATTTTTCGCTACGCTTCTGGTGGTAACTGTTAGGTTGTAAATACAGAAGTTCTATCTGTCATAACATGCTTCTAATTTGTATAAGATTATAAAAGTTACTTGTATGCCATTAATCATTGTATAAGGATCTTAGAGCCACATGTCCTTTTCATTCTAAAGGGGAATGATGTGGTGTGTTTCGGTTTCAGTTTCATGGTTGCCAGTATCGGCTTCATGTAAAGTATTTTCGCCCGCAGGGGGCGCTACCCTGTGTATATATGCGCAACATTGTACATAATAAAAGAGTTCCTGCTTAGCTACCTTCTGCTACGTACCTTGTGTCAGCCAGCGCTTCAGCGTCGTGCCTTGTGTACTCCATGCGGTGCGTCCGCCGCACTATACTACAGTAACGTTTGAAACAAGCAACATGGATGATGTCTATGTTGCTTGTGAAAGCTAGTGGTGTGAGGTAGAGCATGTATACAGCTCATGCCATAACACAGTTGTGGAAGTCGTGTGCCATTTACGCCACACTGTGTCAATTCAGTCTTCTTGTGCCATCCTGCTCCAAATGCATTATTAGACGAAGCTGCTGACAGCAAGGCAGGTTAGGTGTGAGAGTGTAATTAACAAAATTGCATGCACAAATTAGAATCAACTCATGCGTGGCAGGGCAAACTGGAAATTATTGAGAGGCCTTTGTCTAACACTGCACATAAAGTATAATTAAGATGATGGAATCAGTAATGGGAAAATTTAAACATTGATATTTAATATGTTACTTTTTGTTTAGCACCAATCATTATCAAACCACTTACGAACTATTTTCGTTTTTGTTTTGCTGATATTTCTGTCTTGTACTGAGCTGCACCACTAATCATTGTAGGACGCAAGCTAGCCCAAACAGTTCTTCTAAATGAAGTTGGCTCTTCAGAGCGACACAACTAAACTCCAGTCCTGCTCAGAGAGCTCTGCTCCAAAGTGCTTGATCTAGTTCATCCCTTTGTTGTTTGGAAACATGTCTTTCAATAATCCTCTTAACTCTCTCAGATGCCAGTAATGAAGAACTGTTTGTAAATGTGTCAAATCAATACGTCATTTCAAGGAAGTCAATAGTCTATTGCAACAAAATATTGTCATAATATTTTAATGTATGTATGTTAGAGTAAGTAATCCTAATTACAGTAGAGTCGCTAAACAGAACCTGAAGTGACCAGGAAAGTCTGTTCCATTCAACAGGAGTTCTGCTTACTGAAAGATGAACAGGGGTGCAGCATTCAGGTGTGGAACCAATAATCCTAAAGGCAGTTGTTCCATTTAGGCAGCAGTTCCAGATTTCCATTTACTGATTCTACTATACATTGTAATTAGATATATATTTATCCTGATGTTTGTGACGCTCTGTTTTGGTGTAAATAGAATGAAATCTCAGGCCAGAACGATAAATTCATTTTTGGTTATGTCCATTCTGAGCTAAGAAAAATATACTTTTTACATGTCTTGCAGGAAGTAGTACGTTGAACGACTCTTAGCAAATTGACCATTTGCAATAATACGCTGCAAAAATAGTTGAATGAAGAGAAATTCATTGTGCAGGAGGTTGAATTTATCCAAGTCTTGATAAGCCTCGCTCTTTCTTAGCCCTTAGTCGATACAAGCAGCGAAAACAAGTGGTGAGTCCAATTGTGTACATAGCGTCTGAAAGGGTTAGTAAATGGCAAATCGACCACCGTTTTGACGTTTCAGCCGTCAGCAAACTCTGGGAACACCTGCGTCTGATGGAGTGGCTAGACCCCGAGCTGGTGGCAGCGGTCATGTCTCTGGTCAGTAGTAGCGATGAAGGCCTCTCAGATGTGCTGGACAGGATGCAGGCCGCATGGAACTTTCATGTTCAAGGCCTATTCAAGAGTCTGCTTCACCTCACTGAGCCTACTGCTTTTTTTGTTTGCCTTGGTGAGTGCCTGCTGTGGATAATTTGATGCCTCATGATGGCTGCATGCTTTGTGGTAACATTGTATTTACTATGCAGAATGTTTTCCAAAGTTTATAGCAAATGATTGTTTGTTTTTTTTGCCATTATGGATACTAGATATCTTGGTGATATGATCATGTTTGAACCCCATGTCGGTGGGAACGAATTCTGACGAAGTTGTGGCCAGCCTAATTGTGGGCATCTGTAAAGTGTGCGTAATCTTGGGATAACTCATGCACATTCCTAACCTGAATTTGATTATATATGCATTGTTCTGTTGGCATGTCTCACAAAGGAAAAAATGAACAGAGTAAGCAGTTGTACAGTTGGCCTTTTGACATAAATCTACCATGATTCTAGTGTGTACACTTTACACTTGGATGAGCTGCAATAGGCTCTCACAACACAGTGAAAGGAGCAAATTGAAAGATTTACAATTTGTAGGAATGCCTTCTTGGAAACACTGAGAAACGAAAATGGTTCGCAGAACTACTAGTGGCTTGAACTGACAGCAATTGCCACAAACAAGAGTGCCTCACCTTCACTATAGTGGTGTGGCTATTGTTCTAGATGAATATATTTATTCATGTGAATACAGTATTTAAAATGGCTAGGGGAATTTGTATCAATATACACTCAAGTTAAAAGCTTATATAAGAAGCCCAAAATTGAATGTTTCATTGTTTTAGTGAACATATTGTGCTTTTGGGGGGAATATATTGTGATTGTCTTACTGAGTTAAATTAACTTAGTAGCATAGATGGTTTGTCGGGCCAGGTTTGGTGAAAGAATATTTATCCCTTCAATATCTATGATTAAAGTTGTTTAAAAATTTTTTTTGAAATATGGTAGTCTCTTTGGGCATAAATACACAATATGCAATATGATTCTGACACTGCAAGGGCGCCTGAAAGTCACCTGCCGTGATTTCTTTGAGAAGCTCTGTGACAGCCTATGCGACAGTGGGAAAACTGTCAAAGCAGTGACCTTTCAGGCTTCTCTTGAGAGACATAGACTTTATTGAAAATGACACAAAAGGGAAGCATTGAATTGGTTTAGATTGATAAAAATCCACTCAGAAAACTCTGTCATTAATTTCATCATCAATGTTTATTTTTTTTAATTTTGTACTGAAATCTCCGTACATAACGTCACGAATTTCCAAGTGTGTTTCTTGTATTTTGGCAGCTTTGTCTCAACAGAATCTTCTGAAACTTTGCTCTTTAAATGTCTGGCCTGTGTGAGAGGGCGATGTTCTTCATGTTTACTGAGCAAGAACTGCATGTGTCGTAGTACTATGCACATCGAAATCTATGGTGCCACTGCAATTGGTGCAGGATTTTCAAGGTGGTTCTGCTACCTGCATTTTATTTTCGCATGTTTTCTTGCTTACCAAACATCTCGTTTCAAGTGTGGTAATTTTGATACTGTGAAATAGTGGTTTACATACATAAAAAATATCATTTTCTCTTTATTGCCTCATTAAATGTCCTTGTGGGGGTTAAAGCTGGCTCTAGGAATAAGAAGTCTGCCAGGATCACATACAGACTGAGCCATGATTCAGTGTTGATGATGAACCCAGCAGATCACAGTTGTTTAGGCTTGTAATTGAACTAAGTTTCTTTTTTTTTGAATCTTCAATACCAAGGCATTTTTAGAGACAGGCCCTTGGATGCTTTAAAATTTTTTTGCCCAGGTAATCTGCCAACATAGAAGATTATTTAGCTTTTCTATAGTTCATTTGTTCCTCCTAAATTTTGCTGCATTGCAACAACGAAAAAAAAAATCTCAGTGTTGTAATTTTTATAGCTTTACCAATTCACTTATGGGACAATACCACTTGAAGTATTAAAATATTTGTAAAATTTACTAGTTTGATAGTTGCAACACTTTGCCCCGCCACGGTGGTCTAGTGGCTCAGGTACTCGGCTGCTAATCCGCAAGTCGCTGGATTGAATCCCGGCTGTGGCAGCTGCATTTCTGATAGAGGCGTAGTAAATGTTGTAGGCCCGTGTGCTCAGATTTGGGCACACGTTAAAGAACCTCAGGTGATCGAAATTTCCGAAGCCCTCTACTATGGCGTCTGTCATAATCATATGGTGATATTGGGACGTTAAACCCCACATATCAATCAGTTTCACCACTTCTCTGTCTTGTCATGCACATCGTCAGTTTGGCTGGGTTATATAACATACCGTTAAAATTAAAATGTTGCTCAGTTAGGCCACTTAGACAAGAACAATAAGTTTCCACCAAAAAACAAGTTCACAAAAAAAAAGGAGAGAGAGAGAGAGAAAGGTGAGAATGGCTTGTGAACAGATGTGTAGAATTTTTTTCAGCTGGTACAATCTGTAATGGCCAAGGAAATGCTGACTGGTTTTGGGTGTGCAAATGCTTTTATTGTACGGCTGGAATCTACTATCTATTGTACAGATTATGTGCCTTCTGATATCCCACCGTTTTGTGCCTTTCTAGTTTGTTAATTTTCTGTTGTTTTAGTGTCACAACAAAGAAGACCTTACCTGAAGTTTTTTTTAACAATTTTTTATTGGACTTTTTTCTGTAAATATCACAATCTTCATTTAGATAGGTAAAACTGAATATAGGCTTGCAGGAGAGAACTGTTTGGCCAAAGTAAGAGCAATCAAGTTAACTACCCACTGGGCATATCGGTATAGTTTCATAATGAAGAAAGCGCAACTAGCACGGAGACTAAGAAAGAACACAGGACGGAGGGCTTACTACAAATGAAAATTTTTGTTTGGGGAAGAATGATCCTATATACGCACCACATAAATGTATGTCACTTCAAACCATCGTTGTTATCTAAAATAATTGTGAATCAATAAACGGCAGTAAGAATGAGCGATTGCCTAATACAAAAATGAGCATCTGAAACTGTTAAATATCAAGAAAAGAAATCAATCTTGTCGCATCCAAAAAAGCAAATTCAGAATCTGACAGCAGTACAGATGGCTGGCAGACACGCCTGTCTGCCTCTTCTTAATATGAAAAGCTTCAAATATTTGTCTTATTCTTCACTTCTTGTGCTTGTCAGTGATGACTGTGTCACAAAGTTTTGACCGGCACATGCACTCCTAGCAGTGCATTGCTAATTGAGAGCATAGTGCCTCTTTTAGTGAACTGTGATGTTTGCAAAGGCACACGTTTGGGTATAGACATGTCTGCCCAATGTATTTTGTTCGACATGTGAGAGGAATACTGTATACAAAATCTTTTTTTTTTTTTGTACTGGGCAAATCTTATGCCATGTTTGATACGACATATGTAGTCTCCATGCAAGTTGTGTTTTTTTTTGTTATGAAGAAAAATCAAGAACTTTTCCTAGGAACATAACGTTTTGCACTACTCTAGCTGTATGTCTTTCTGAATATAGCACTTAGTGTGAACAGCTTGGTAGGCATTTTATTGGTTGTCTCGCATATATGCTTCAGATGCCTCACTAAAAAGAAGCATCGCTTGCTTGAGTGACAGTCCATTGGATAACCAAGGATCAGCCAGTGTCATCAGTGTAATCTGCATGAGAATAAAGGCAGTGCCAGATCTGGCATCAGTGGCATTTGAAGGTAGCACCGTGCCAGAAAAAGTTGAGGTTGCCTTGAAGAATTTAAGGACGGGTACGTATTATAAGTTTTATTCATAATTTTTTTCGGAAGCTGTGTACTACACTGCGCATTCTTCATGCTGCTGTTAGTTTACGTTTACTAGAATTCATGCAGAAACTGTATTTAGTGCTGAGTTCTTGATGAAAGGGTATGATGCATGAAAACATGTGGTTGAAATGAGCAGTGGTTGTCAGAGGAGTGCTTTTTAGTGCGAAGGAGTGCCCTTGTACATAAGCAATTAACCTGATAAAAACAGGAGCACTTACTTCATACATGTTGTTGTCAAGGCAAAGCCAAGCTCTATTGTAAGCCACTTGAAATTGGAGCACACTTTCATTCTAGCACTTCTGTAGAATCGCATGCTGCTAGTTGTGTGTGGTACTAGTGCTAGCATTTTGTGAAAGCAAATTTTGTATCTTGAACAAGACCAGAAGAGTGATACACTAGCACGGGTCCTTTACTTAAGCTTGCAATAATCTGATATAAAAGTATGAATGCCAACTGTGTACAAATGAATTCCCATTGTTGCATACAGACTGCACAAAACTTGGTGCTTGTATGTGCACTACTACATGTGTAATGTGCTAACTGCTAATCAAGCTTAGAATGGATATTTCCTGGAGACTGGCAGGCTGTAGGGATGAGGTTCAAAGCGAATTTATTGTGAATAGTGATTTGGCTGAATACTTCTGAATGAAATAGTTTAAGTAGGGTGTATAGTATATTATTGAGAAAAATTTGCATTTTTGTCGCGACTCGACTAATTTGCACCACACTTTTAAGAATTGGAACTAGGCATGTGTGAATGTCATTATTTAGTTCGAAGTAAATTGAAAGCAACTTTGAATAATAACAAAATTTGTCTAGCAAAAGGGTACAAGTTATAACTGGTAAAATACTTTGTTTTTGAATTTTATACTTAGCACACATAAGCTTGTATAACAAGCTTGTAAACTTTTAATAATAGTCAACCCAGCTGGTGGTAAAATGTACACCGTCTTCTTTTATGAAAGAGAACACGCAAGTGTGTGGCCTGCCCTCTGCGGTGGCTACCTACAGCACCATCAACTAACAGCTATGGAAAACGCACCTGCGTTTGTGGCATTTCATATTGGTGAACAAGATACCGAATCATGGCTAGTGGGCAAACGCTGCTAGATTATGCTCCCACTCTGACAGCGCACTGGCAATGTCCATGGATGATGCTGTAGGCAGCCACCATATAGCGCAGGCCACGCTCTCACGTGTTCCCTTTCATAAAGGTTGACGGTGTACATTTAGTCTTATAGTGTGGCTTCGTGGCAGTACGAACTCTTTTTGGATTGGCGGTTTCACGGCATAGCATGCCCAAGTTGTAGTTAAACAAGCTTTACAGAGAGGCTAAATGCACTCTAAAAATACATACTAAATTTGTTCATTTTGAATAGTTTGAAATTTTGAATAATCTAAATTTGTGTCCTAGTAAATTCAAGAGCTGTAATATTCGTTCAAATATTTGAGGTGCCCAATATTTGCCCATTTTCATTATTAAAGGCCATCTCTACTGAGGTTGAGCTTATAGGAGTTCTGTGCCCTAATAGATTGTAAACTCTGAATCTGATTTGTGTTATATGCATGGCTGGGCGGGGGTTGGTTGCACATTTTTGGAGCACTTGGGCATGTGGCTGCACTCTCTGGCTCTTCAGTGCTTGCCATCTGTAAGCCTAATAGCAGCCGCCTATGTGCAATTTAATATGCTCACATTCAGCTAGTTGTATAACATCAGTGTGCTGTTGCTTGTGGTAAATATGCTTAGGACTACTGATTGTCATATGTAGTAGCGAAAAAAATCTCTAGGCTAACTGAGACATATGTATGTAAAAATACTATACCTGTTTTTAACACAGCTAGGTGAACTGTGAATGTCATCTGTTTTTCGTGCCTTATCCTAATACCAAATTTTTTGTGCAGTTTCTACCTATGTCGAAATGCTCACTGAGAATTGCCCATGGCTATCATTAACTTAATTTTGAGATAAGACAATTTTATCATCAAATAAAAAATCTAATTCTGCAGTTGCAATGACATTGTTTTAATGCTTTTTATTCTGTTACATGCCACTTTTAGAGGGAAAGTACTTTAAGAGCACTGAAGTTTTTAAGATTCAACTTGCTGCGAACCTTACGCAGCTTGTATTTTTTTTCCATTTTTGTACTGCTGTGATTCATTTCATATGGAATTGATTTCATGATGCTGTCCAGGAAGTGCCATTAATTTAGGGCTATGAACTGGACCACTGATTCAAATATAGAAGCGTGTGTGTACTTTGAAACTAGAGAAGACATTTGTGGGATCTACAAAAGAGTCACATTCAATAATGCCCCCTGTTTCATATCTGCATGATTGTGTAATTAGTAATTTTATATTAGTAATTGTAGATAAGGTATGCATAATTATGAGCATTATTTCTTGTGGTAAATGCTATGTCCTGGACACATTGTCCTTATTCCTGGAACTTGCAATGTCTTTTCCAAATGGTGAGTAAATAGTATGCCATGACATAATAATGTACTTCAATTAAATTTTTCATGAAAATATTTGGAGCTCTTCAAGTCATGAGACTAACATTATGTACTCAGTTACGAGCTTTGAGGCCGAATTTTTTTTACTTCACTCTACCTTTACGTGCATAAAATTATGGTATTTTATTCATTCATGGGTTGCATATTACCAATTTTACGTAACCCTGGCTAAGGTGGTTTATGATAGCCAATTCAAAGGCAAGATTTTTTTTTCCTTAGCCCGGCGATCATTACAACGAGCAGTGCCTGAGAACAGAATCAAAGTGGCCAAGGTTGTTCGTGGCTGTGTGAATGCTGTTTACGAAGAAATTACTAGGCACTTGGATGTTGTTTCTGAGACACCATCACATATTCCAAGTGAGTGTACCACAGTAGCGCCCAGCTTACTTAACAGATATTTGTTAGATGCCGTACTGAACAATCTTACGAAAAATTTCTCCTAGGTTGTTTGCTGACTGGACTTACCACACCAATGGTTAGCAAGTATCCTGTGGCACGCGAGAAGTCCCTAGACCTTGAGATAACAGGTAATAAGCTCTAAAACAAGTATGAAATGTCTTTTGAAGCAGATTTTCAGAGGGAAGTTGCTAAATGTGCGTGAGCTGTAAGAAAATGCAACACTTTTCTTTGTGGACTTGTTAAATTTCTTAAATTATCCAATATGGTTCACCGGAGTTTATAAATTTAGTTTCATGTTCGTTATAAGTGAATTGAGGAATGCATAGCAGTGGCAATTACCTTATAACTGCAATCTAGTTGTCTAGCATATTATGACTTCTGAAATTTATGGATAGGTAGTAGGTGTTTGTGTGAACTTAAAGAAAGTAGGTTATATTGTTTGTTTTTTCCTTGCAGCAATATTGAAGGAAATGGAGTTGCAATCATGTGAGAGCACGAACTCACCTGCTACAGAAGCCAGGTGCGAGACTTTTGTATGACTGTTGCAATTTTCGCTTTATATGTTGTAGTAACAAAAGAACATTGATCATAATGCAAATTTTCACGCTTGAGAACTTTCTTGCTAGTAAAACAACTGTAACTACAGTCAGTTGTTGGTGCTTTCAGTTGTGATTGGTGCATCAGTAAGTCCTTGTTTTGTGAGGAAAAGAATTGTGAACTCCTAGTGCATTCAGGCAAACTTCTACGGATTGGGTTGTTTCACTGGGTAATCGCTGTGTTTGTGCAAATGGGACATGACCACCAATGTAATGCAAGTAGGGTTACCATCTACCTCAATTTTTGCAGTGCAGTCCCGGCTTTTTGAGCAAATATTTTCGGTTCAGTCTTATTGTCTAGTTAGACATACAACCCTGCTTTTTTCTGCCCTTATTATAATAACTGGTGGCTTTTTTGTATATTCTGGTCTTTTGTGTTAACTTGTTGTGAACATCAGTGCAGTCTCATTTTTTATGTTTAGTGTTCTGTTGGAGTCCCTAACAGTTCAGAAAATATGAAAAATCAGTTCTGCTAGTATGTTATGTGAAGTTAGGTAAATTGCTATCCTCTTAAGTGTAGCATGAAACCATGTACAGTTGAGCAGATGACAGTTTTACTTTTCTTCTATTTGTACTGGTAGTTTGATACCCCTGAAATTATTGCACGTTTTTTTACGTTACTTTCGATTTCGTAGTCATCAGAACAGAAACTTCCCCCTATTATCCTTGTATCTTTTTTTCTCCCATCATGGCTCATCAATGGTTTGCAAACTTGAATACGGCAGTGAAGAGAGTTTTCTGTGGCATAATTGGAGTGGCTGTTGGGGTGTACCTGTCACCGAATGTTGTGTGTTTGAGAGAGCTGGGCAAACTTGTGAGGATAGGGTTGCAGGAAGCTTACCATACGAGCATGACTGGGAAGGGATGCGATGTTGCTCTACCGCAGCTGTGCAAAAAGGCACTACCGCCAAGTTCGTTTACTCTCTGACACCACACAGAAAAGACACTCGGGACAGGTTTATTAACCCAAGATGCAGCACAGTGCGTACACGGTAACTCTACAATACTGATCAAGTAAACTTCCCTGGGTGCTACAGTTACCATACAAAGGGGACTGCTAAGCCTGTGAACCAGAACTTGCCTATCGATTCCGCGCGTGATATGTACTCTTGTAGCAGGCGTCTGATCATCCCTCCTGCAACGACTAAGTGGCAGACGGAAGCGAGCTTTTGTTGAGAGGAAGCCTGAAAGGGGCCAGTGAGGACTGGCATGACAGAGTGGTGGAGCTAGTGTGATATGCGACACCAGGGAGGTAGAAGCATGGCTTGTGTATAGTTTATGACTGAAATGCTGTCGTTTAATGGCTATTTCCGCCAATCTGGCCTCATGGAGCTCGCACTATGTACTAGCTGTGGAACAAGGCAGGCAGAAAGGGGTTAGGCACTCTTGATTCTCACAAGTATCACTCTTTTGCCTCAATCGTTGGCTGTTTCAAGTTCCAATTTTCTTTCAGAGTTTGCATTTTAAACTCCATGCGGTTAAATATTGCAGCTGTGTGCATTTTTTGTGTTTTGTCTAGCATGGATCTGAAAAGAGTGCTTATTTGAACTAGCACGTGTATGCGTAAGATCTCTTTGCATTTCTTTTTGCAATTGTGCTATGCTCCTGTGGCTCAATCTGCAGTTATGTTAGTACTTTCACCCTGTGTCCTTGAGAATTCACTTCTTTTCTGAAAAGCTCAGCATGTAAAGGGAAACTCTTTCTTTAGTTGCAGTTTCTATATATAGAAATTATTCACTGATTGTTTATGATTTACTCTTTTTTTTTAAGACTTTGGTTGGTGAGCTCTGTGGTAAGCCTTTGGCTGTGTACTGTGGTAGCCTAGTGGCTATGAGCGGTGAACTGCTTTGCTCAAGGTAGCGGGTTCAATGCTTGCCATGGTGGCTGCATTATAGGAAAAAAAACTTGCTTGTAGTACTCATGCTTACATGCACTTAACCCAAGTTGTCAATATTACTAAGAAACTAAGAAATTTCTCTACTAAGGTGTGCCTTATTATGTGATTGTGCTTTCAAGTTTTATTATTTCCAAAAACAAGGTACAAAATCTAAGATATACAGATGAGGGTCCCAGAGCCAGAGACTTTAGTGGGACCCTCGGTTTGTCGATACAAATCGACGGTAAAATTTATACAGAGCAACAGAAAATTCTTACAATATACGGACATCAAAATGCACTTTTATATCACCAATCAAGCCAATAAACGCAACACGTTTACGTTTGTAACGTAAAATACCAAACAAGCATTATATATATATATCTATATATATATATATATATATATATATATATATGAGGGAAAGAAGTGTATACTTAAGGGCTCTCAATTCCGTGTTTTGACAGAAAAAAATGAGATCTAACAGACAAAGATGCCAAGGAAAGTATAGGGGAAGTTTGACCGAGTTGTAATGTAAATATTGTAATGTAAATATCAAGAAAGAAAAGTGGGTGAAAAGATAACTTGCCATGGGCAGGAACCGAGCCTGCGACCTTCGGATAACGCATTCAATGCTCTATCACTGAGCTACCACGGCAGCTATCCCCCCAGCCACTTTATTGGGTATATATGGGAATTTAAACGTGGAAGTGTCAGTCAGCGCCACCAGTAGCCATGGCGGCGAGTGTGGCACACTCTTTATGAGCCTGTGAGGCGTCACATAGCACGTGAACTTATTACCAGTCCACGGCAAGTTATCTGAACTTATTCCTGGCCACGGCAAGTTATCTTTTCACCCACTTTTCTTTCTTGATATTTACATTACAATTCGGGTTAATAACTTCCCCTATACTTTCCTTGGCATCTTTGTCTGTTAGATCTCATTTATATATGCCCCGCCGCGGTGGTCTAGTGGCTAAGGTACTCGGCTGCTGACCCGCAGGTTGCGGGATCGAATTTTGGCTGCGGCGGCTGCATTTACGATGGAGGCAGAAATGTTGTAGGCCCATGTGCTCAGATTTGGGTGCACGTTAAAGAACCCCAGGTGGTCAAAATTTCCGGAGCCCTTCACTACGGCATCTCTCATAATGATATGGTGGTTTTGGGACGTTAAACCCCACATATCAGTCAATCAATCTCTTATATATATATATATAACGTGGTATAGTTGTTAATCCCTGAACGACTTCAGCTCTCATGAAAATTTCTTAGTGTATCATCTTTGAAAATGTATCAAGTGCCATTGTTTATTGTACATTTTTAAGAAGCAGAAGATTTGGAGTGGGTAACCATGAAAGTCAAAGGAATCAAGCACATTGTTTCGATAAGCATTTGTAGTTGTGGTCTTTTTTTTTCTCTATTTCGTGCAGTCCTCCAAAGGATAGTGGTGGTGCTACATTTCCTGCTGAGGAGTTTGGGCATACAATGTCTTTGTAAGTTCATACTTAGCTGTGTATGGAAAATGTTCTTGTGCACTTGTTACCTGTTTTCAATCAATCTACGCATATTCTAGTTGAATTTCCTTGGCTGAAATTTGCTAAAGAATGACTTTTAGGTGAATTGCTTTAATATTATGGTAAAAATTTTTGTAGATAGTTTTAGAAGCTTTTAAGGCTGTCATATAATAAAGAAAAAGCTGAAAAGCTGCTTTTTGTGTTTTGTGTACTTCAGTCTTGTAAACTGCTACAACTTACAGTCACAGTGCAAAAGTAGAAAACAGTTTGGCAGTAGAACTGTGTGCATGTGGGCAATGCATAATAAGCATGTAATTGGGGAATGCGTCATACAGAGATGCTCGATAGTTTCATGTCCCCAAAGGTTGTTTGCCTTGCATGTCTCTTGGGTCTCCTGTAGTTCGGCTTCCCCTGATGTTCATGCTGTGTTGAAGTCACCGTAGTTATTCGGAAATGCAAGTCTTCGTGTGATGGTGCCACATGGCGTAATTTACGAAAGAAGGGAATTTTGAGGGCTCGTTTCTTTTTTGTTTTGATATAACCTTAATGAAAACCTTCCATTAATGAAGCTAATAAAAGTATAGGTGATGTAATTATACTGTTTTAAATGTGTTGTAGTGATTGTGATACAAATGTGAAGAAAATAAAGTGGACGAACAACTTGCAGCCGGCAGGTTCTGAGTGTGCAACCTTCGGATAATGTGCCCATTGTTCTACCGCTAAGCTACTGCAGTGGGTCTCCTCTTGTCCTCTTTATCGGGTATTTATGAGCATGAAAACCCTGAAGAGTGTTAGTGAGCACTGCTTGTAGCCATGAAAGTGATTTTGGAACACTTTCTTTGCCAGCTGGCACGTGATGCCAGCTGTTCACTGGCCCTTGATAATTGATGTTTTACACAATTGTATAAATATCGTAAGTACTTTTGTAAATATATTTTAGCATCTTACTGTGTTTCATAATGAGAGTATATTGTAGTTTATTTTGTTTCAATTAAAAGGCTGGTTAGTAATTGCAATCTAAAAATATCCTACAAGTGCAAATTTAGGTTGATGTGAGAAACTACAGTTGCTGGCACAGGGCAGTTGACGTGTATGTGGATGTCATCGAATGGTGTTATTAATAATTTCTTATAATACTATTTCCCTTGGACATTGGCAATGTTCTTCTCTGTTTTTGAACCAAACTTTTATATGTTCACATGTGTGCATTTTTTTTTTTTTTTTACTTTTTGCAGGCCTAAGCGCCCAGCAAGGTCTCGAATACCAAGGGCCCACGTGAATGTCAATTACCGATCAAATATTTTTACAAAAACTGGCTGGCGTGAGGCACTCAGTCGCTCCCTCTGGTGCTCTGATGTAAGTCTACCTCTCAGCCTGTGTGTACGTCAGTCTTGCCTTATGTTGTGTCTCTTTTATCCATGTCTCTTGACCTGTTCCAGAGGAGCCTGTGTGTTGGAAATATGAGCTCCAGGAACTGGCTCCAGAACAACAGCACAATATATGCACTCATTCATGAAGTACAGCTTCTTGTTAAGGCCATCTTGGAGGCTGAGGAAGAGGTTGGTACCTATCATTAACATATTTTAACTCATAAACTTTGTTGGAAACACCATAGATGAGTGTTTGTTCATTCTATGTTGGTATACTCCTAAAAAACTGGAGTTCAAGGTCAACCTTACCTTTTCCTTGCTTTTCTTATGCCAAGGCATTGGCACAAAAAAAACCACAGCATATCCACGGAGTGAATGATGATGAGTGGAATAAAGCGTCCATCAGCCCGTCCGTGCTTCCATTCGTCTGTTCGTTCTTGCTTCAGTCTGCGTGACCATCCATGCGTCCGTCTGTCTGTCTGTTTTGCATCCATTTGTGAGCCTGTCTATCCGTCTGTCGGTCCGCCCGTGTGTCCATCTAGTGAACACTCCAAGTACGGCCATCTCACATCCTCTTTGGCACATACCCGCTCCATGCGTCCGTCCATCCGTTCGTCCGTCTGCTAGTCTGTCTGTCCGTTCGTCCATGCATCCGTCTGTGCATCCATCTAGTGAAAATTCCAAGTACCACCATCTCACATCCACTGTGGCACAGGTATGTGTCACCTGTGGCTACGTACAACATTGGAGGATGTACAGACCCATGCCTTAAGGAGCTTTGCCCTTAAAATTCAATGTTCTTCAATATTTTATGCAGACTTCTTGCAGTGAAGTATGCAGCTATTGTTCTGCCAGACTTTTCTTCAATGCTGCATTATTTACTTTCTTGATATCAATTATTTATAGCTAGCCTCTGGGAGTCATTGTCAGTTCCTGGGATGGGGTAGGGGCTGGTAGTCTCTGTCACTCTTCAGGCTTTACGTTGTGAGGTTTTGCCTTTCTGCGTCTCATCCATAGTTAATGCAGGGCAGACAAAGGCCACAAGAAGTGAAGACCAACAATTTATTTGTGAAGTAGAAAAAGAACGAAAAACAGCACGATTGTCTGCCTTGTCTGCTGGGAGGATAGCAGTCTTCCCTGCCGCATGCGGGCTACTTCTTATAAAGCACAAAAGTGGACCACACACCATGTTACTACACAGTTTATGGCATTTGTGTTATGATAGCCTACACACATGACTATTGCAGCATTTTCATTGTTTTCAGAGTTACATAATTTAACCTTGTAGTCAAAAGTGACGTGGCTTTCTCATACCTGTTAATGCTCTGTTATAATCTCTTAACTTTTACAACATGCCATGTATGTACGTGAGGGGGTTATGTTTAATTGCGTGAAGCTGGTGGTGTCATGCCAAGCCTAAGGTGGGCTCCTCCTAGTCAAACCTGTTCCGATACACAGCGAGACCAGCGCAGAGAGAAATTCCCATCTGCAGTAGTGAAAACACGTTGCACTGTCTGTCGGGAACCTGTGAAACAGCTTGCATAATAGGTCCCTGGGCACTCAAGGCCGACATGGCTCTGCGCGTCTGATGCGAAACGTTACCGGAGCTAATTGAAGACGGGTGATGTGTGAGCGTACCAACAACCGCAAACACAGGCAATGGCTGTGTTTGCGGTTGGGAAGCCACTGGACTCTAGAGGGTGATGCTTTGCCAACATGACTACATCATGCCACGTGCACACACTACATCATAGTTAGTGTTTTTATTCACCTATGATAGCAGAGAAAAACTTCTTTTCTTTAGGTTTGGTGAGCTTTCCCACACTGATTTCTGCGTCTTGGCAAGTTTGCATTACATCATAAAGAGAAGCTTAAATTGCATTTAAACCATTTAAAGAAAAATAAAAGAATATCATGCAGTTTTCTTCTTTTCTTGAAATCAGAATACTGTGGGCAGCGAGAGTTTGCTCAATCAGAATGATCATGTTTACACGCACTCACTAGATTTATGACTTCCTGCTTTGGAAAATGTGATGTCCTGTACGACAAAACTGTCGAGATAAGCCCCAATAATTCCATTATAAAAAGGCAATGCAGCTGTAGGAATCTGTTGGGTCATTCAATTGGGGCTTGCCAAAACATTGCAGCTATAGCTAGTTGTTGCTTGTATTGCTGTTTGGCTACAACACGCTGCACTGATGCAGCCTGTTGTAGCCAAACAGCAACCTCAATGATCTTGCAGCCTCAATGATCTTTAATACCGTACCCTGCGCGAACTGGTTCCATTCGGTGCCAATTAATTCCTTAATTTCATCAATCTACTTGACTCTTGACATCTTTGGCTGCATCTTTTATCCCTTGGTACCCATCTATGTCACTCTAATTTACATTGGTCATGTGCCCTGCACAATGCGTTAGCAGCTGAGGTTAATTTTTCTTCCTAATGTCAGTATCAGCTACACCTGTCTATTCTTTTACAGACTCTGCTCTCATCCTATCTCTTACTATTATATCCACTATTTTTATTCCATTGCACAATGCATGGTCCTTAACTTTTTGAGTTTCTTTGTTATTCCTCAAATTTATGTATGCACCATACGCTGGTGCAGGTAAAACGCAATGGTTGTACACTTTCCGCTTTTGGCGATGCCTGCTGTAAGTGCTCCTGCCCACCCTCATTCTTCGGCGATATTTCTTGGGTGAAAACGCTGCCCTATCAATAATTCAGGTGGTTGTTGCCACGTGGGCTTAGTTTTATTTTTATGTGGGATTAGGCTTAAGCCACAAAATGTAGCCACACTTACAGAAAGCACAATGGGAAAGAGTGCTCATGTTCATCACATGCGGTCAAGACCGTGAGGTGTGTCGTCGTAACCTCTTCCTCCATTGTCAGGATTCAGTGCACTTGTCAGGACTAGAGAAAAGAATAGAAAAAGTGTTTAAGGCACGCAACCAACCCCTTCAGCTTTTTCAAAGAAACATTTTTGGTGATCAATTTGTGAGGTAATAAACACCAATACTGAGGTAAGTTGTTAATTACTTGGAAAAATAGTGCATCACCCCTTTAAATAGCTCATGCATATAACATATAAGAATTCATTTCAAAATGTTACATTTTTGGTTTTTATAGAAGTGTTTAAATGGTCTTTTTTTGTTGTTGTAGCTGTGCAGTTCTGACTCTCTCGCACAACTGGCTTATCTCGGACACAAGTTGGCATCAGAAGTGGCGAATGTGTGTTCTCATGTAAAGACCTCCATGAACAACAGAACCAGGTGTGTAAGCATGTTTATCGGATGACTCACAAAAAACTAGTTTGAAAAGATTGCATTAAAACTTGCACCGAGATGCACAAAAAAAAGGCTACATTATGCAGTAACACAATTTTTAAGGCACTGTCTATAGAAGGAAGTGAGGGGAAGCCAAATTAAGCGATAGGTTGCGGTTCATAATTAAAGGCAGAAGCTTGCTTTCTCTTGAAGTGTACAATTTGTTTTTTTTTTTTTTGATGAGCCTTCACATCGAAACTGTTATGCACTGCATCTTGGTGTACTGCCATGCAGTTTCATTGCTTTTTTGTTTTTTTTTTACTGTGGAGCTGTTATATGCTTGATTTTCAGGAGATTGCTGCATGTGTAGACCGAAAACCCCAGCACCACCTAGGGAGTAGTGGTGTATTTTGAAGCATTAAAGTGGGACCTCTGGTGCCCTCTATGTTGTAGCAGAAGAAACTAATGCACTGAAAAAAAAAAAAACATGTAGGGAATACAAAAATAAATCAATAAAATAAAACGAATTTTCTTGGCAAGGTGGGATTTACCCTGAGCCACCATGCTCTCAGAGCGAGTGCCTTGACTACTGGGCCAAACACCCTTGCCTACAGGCAAAAAATTTTTTTGAACAATATGTGTGTGGTGCAAAGCATACGTAAAAAGTGAACACTTTTTACGAAGCTTCGGTGATTTTTGTTTTGGTGGTTATAAAAGCCCTCTGCAGGACAAGATATGATGCCAACATGGGCAATTGAGCACATCAGGAAAGTTGATCCTTTAAGCAATGTCATGCCTAGCATGCATTTTTTTATGTGCCTTTTAAGAGGCTGGTGAGAATGTTGACAAGTGTTGCAAAGAAGACATCGATGCCATCCAAAAAGAGTGCTCTGGTATGCACTGCATCCTACAATGAAACTTTGTTCTTGCATATCCCTTAGACAACTCCCTGTCAGCTCCCCTGGTCACCCACCTTCACAGAGTGGAATGGCTCCGAGTTTTTTCAAAATCTTTTTTTTAATGCATTTTGTTGTTCAAAATTTAGCTTCCCTGAAACAAGATAGCTTTAGTCTTTTATTTTTATTTATTTTGAGTGGTTCAGTTACTGTTGCAGGCCAAATTTTCATCCCTTAAGACTAAGCCACTGTATGATACTGTGTGACTGCTCTTTCAGGTTGCTTCTGGGTGTGGAAAAAGCGCAAAATGACATTGAGTTCACGGCTCGTCAGATGCAGCTGTTTTTGGATCTTGGAAAGGATAAACCTGTGGTGAGTGCTGAAGTGAAATTGAGTGGTGCAGGCTATCACGTTAGCTTGGAGTCTGATATCGTTTACCCCATCACATAGTTTAAATGTCATGCTGACTATGCCAGTATGCCAAAGTTGTGTGTCCATGCTGAACTTAACCACAAGCACATTCATTAGGTCAAGCTCCTGTGTGTGTGTGTGTTTTTTTTACAGTAAAGTAAATGAAAATTTCCGAGGCTCTCGTCACTCTTTATGAGCATATTTATGCTTTGGCTTATGATGAGCTATTTGAAACTGTCCTTGACACCACAGTCTGCTTGGTACTAGCCTTACAGTTTACCTTGTTTGTGAAAAGCAGTATGGGATAGAAAAACTTCATTAAATATTAAAGCACCTAAATGAAGTCGAAGTTATGATGAAAAACCCATCTGGTTGGGAAGCAGCATTATAAAAAGTAAAAGAGTAACAGTGACTATATAAGGCTAAAACGTCTCGTCTCCTGTGACAAGAGCCTTGTTCACCATAAAATTTTTTGTAGTTGGTGTTCCTTCTTTACTATAAAAGGAACGGGTTGCATGAAATAGACTAGTGCAGTGAAGAAACACAACTCTCCTAAAATTTTGAATATAGCTACATGAAAATTTTATTGTAATTAGTGAAATAGTTGTTTATATGTTCTTATAGAACATTTTTACATGAAGTATACTTCATGTAATTAGGTCTGAAACTAAAAGTAGTATCAACAAAAGTGGCATTGTGCATTTCAGGCCAACATGACTGTTGCACCATTTGCCCAGAATTTCCTGCTTTTAGCATCTGAAATATCAAAGGCACTTCCTATTCTATGTGGTCAGGTAAGTGCAAGATCTTGAATGTAAATTTTACTTGAACCATACTATAAATATATCAGAACTGTATTTGCTGATGACGTATGTATAGTGCACTTCATACTCTCAGGGAAGCCATAACTTTTTTGTTTCGTAACTAGTGAGAGGGGACACTTTGGTTGACTTTCTGTGTAGTGTACAGTGTAGTACTCATGGATTGAAACAGGAGAATTTAGGGCAAAGTAATGCACATGCTTACTTTTCCACCATTTTCAGTTCGGGTTACACTATAGGAACAGTTATGACTCAACTGCGTAGATCAGAGCCAACATTGCCTTTAGACACTAAATTTGGTGCGACATGGCGTTATTATCTCGAGAAATTGCGCATGCCAGTCTTTATAGTACTATATAACTTGATGTCTGGTTTGAATCTGCGAGTACCTTACATGTCTGTGCATTAATTTAGCACTATGTCTGCATAGGTAAGATTTTTCAAGTTGCATTCTTAATAGGGACCATTAATAGTGATCAGTTGAACAAAGTTTGATTAGTGAACATATCAGTGCAACATATTTAGTACAAAAATATTTTGAGCAATGCTGCAGTAAAATATTGTTATACAAAGTAATAACAGGATCTTGTTGGTTCTTACAGAAAGCTTGTGCGAATAATGTTATCCATTACATGGCAAAATCTGATACATATTCAAGCTTTGTGTATGTTTTTAAAGAGTGATACGGGTCAAAGCATTGCGTGCAGCACTTTTAAACATTATGCCATAAAATCCTTGAAATTTTAAGACAAAGCCAGATGCGGCACACACCTAACTCGGCCAGTGGCTTACCACATTAGTTTCTTTTTTTCCTCTGAGTAATAGTATACTTTGAAGTGATGTTTGTCTATATTTCATGCTTTTCTGTTACATAGGGGATAGGTAACGCCACACATGTGCTAGCCTTGTTTTTAATCTTGGGTGCTGCACTGAGCTGCCTTTGTTTGCAACAAATTTTTGTTGTTGTTTCCTGACATTAGTGAGATTTCATGGAGTTTTGGAAGCAAAAATAAAAAAAGTTTGAATTGTATAATGAGTAGAAAGAAAGGTTTGGTGTAAACTGAAGTTTCACTTGCCACGTTAGGTCATTGCAGCATACTTATACCCTGCATTATATTACACACGAGTATGTTTACATTCTTAATTTGTAAATATACCTTTCAGTCTTGCAACGGTGCTGTGATGGACTCACCGGTCGTGGTCACCTTGCTGCCTGCTCATGAAAAGTTGTCCCCAGGTGCTGCAAGTATCGCAAGCAGCACTTCTGCATGAGTTTTGTGAATGTGTCATGTTGTTTTTACTTGTTTGTACTCTAGGAATCATATAAGTGCCTACAAATTATGAGCAGCGTTCTGTCATGCTGCTTGTTTTTTGTTATTTGTGCCTTAATACAGTTTCTTTAATGAGCATAGTCTGAAATTTCTCTTGGATACTGTGCAGAAGCCACTAGTTGTGTCCTTTACATGATGTATGTTGCGATAACTGCTAGTTTAAACGGCGGGGGGGGGGGGGGGGCTTAGCATCTCAGTGAATATTTATAGCTGGAAACAGTGCTTTGAATCGAGCTGATCCGGTCTGCTGTGGTGGTGTAGCAGTTTTGGTGCTCAGCTACAGAACCTGAGGTCGCAGGTTTGATCCTGGCTGCTCCAATTGCATTTCAATGGAGATGAATTGTTAGTGGCTCATGTTAATTCAATGTCAGTGCAGGTTATGAACACCAGATGGTAAAAATTTTCAGAGCCCTCCACTGCAGCATTCTTCATAATCATATCAAGGTTTTGGGACATTGAACTCCAGGTCATAACACCGTGTTCAAGGTATTGTTATTCTTATAATTATTGTTACTATTGACGTTATCTGTCATATATTTAATTTTGCAAATAATATGCTTATTGCATCTACAACTTATAATGTGCCTTAGTGTTCTGAATTTTATGTAGGCTTAAATTTCTCAAAATAAGGGTTTACCGAGTTAGTTTGCTATTCATAATCTTGTGACAAAAAGGGCAACACAAACTAAACACAGAAGGTAAACACAGCATTCACACTACCAACCAAAACTTTTATTGAAATTTGACGAATATATCTAAAGAACTGATGTTTTGGAAATTGAAGAGGCCCTTTTTTTTGGCTAACCAATCTAGTGAAGAGTGTATTGTTAGACCAGCTGTTGTGCTGAAGGCCAAAGAGATAGGCTATAATATTATACTTTGCTTTTTAAACTATAAATGCGATATAAAGTTTAATTCTTTTTATATATCCGTGCGCCATTCTATCAAAATTTCTATTAGTGTTAGTGTCAAGGTCGTGTTTGTCTTCCTTTCACATCTCATGTTGAGTGTCTGTTGGGCTTTTTGTCACTGGAACGCTTACAATAATTTTGATTTATTTCTGTGCTGTGGGTGCCTATCTGTTGCTATGATTGATGATTTGCATGTACTAGTATAATTCCTTTGGTGTTGTTCCATTGCTCTAGATTTACATTTTTTTAAAGAAACATCTTGCTTAATGTTGTATCAGTGACCCAGCGATGACGGGCCTATACAAGTGTGATAGGTCGGCTAAAATTACGGTGCTCACTCAGGCTCACTCATGAAATATATTTTGCACTTGGGACTCACTCGGACTCAGACTCACCGAAATTTTTCTGAGCCAGGCTCACTTGGACTCGCACTCGCGAAACTCTTCTTCAACCGGACTCACTGGGACTCAGACTCACCAAAATATTACTCACCTGGACTCAGCTCGTACTCAAGGCTCAATTTGAGTCTGAGTGAGTCGACTCATGAGTCCGTAAGTCTAAAATCAGCTTTCTTTAATCATGGTGTCAATGCTGTACCCCAATATCTCAAACAATTTGTGCTTTTCTTGGTGCCGTTTGGTATAGTACCTTTGAGTACAAGTTGAGTGGTTGCAAATTAGCAAGGTCATTTTTATTGAAAGAGATGACAGCATAAATAGAATCAAGAACTTCCCCAAAAGAGTTGGCAGAGGGGGAGTGCAAGGCACCCCCCTAAGTAGTTGGCGCCTCTAATTAATAAATATTGAAATGGCGTATGAATGATACTGTTTTGGAATACTTGTGTGTAAAAGTGAGTATAACTGAGAATACATGTAAGGCTCATAATAATGCTGAATATGAGTAGATAAGATGATTGCATTATATATCGCTCAATAACCTGTACCGATGATCACCTAACACTGCAAAATGACCTCAACAAGATTAATGACTGGTGCAAAAAATGGCTTATGTCGCTAAACAAGCAGAAGTGCAAAATTATGTGTTTTACACGCAAGCAACATATTTCTAGCCATTCGTACATAATTGATGACTACCCTCTGTCGTACGCATCATCCTACAAGTACCTCGGTATTCATTTCACACCAAATCTTTCTTGGTCACACCATATCACCACCATTTGTGCGAAAGCTTCAAAATCATTGGGTTACTTACGCCGCAACTTGCATAGCTGCCCATCCCATGTTCGGCAGCTAGCTTATCAGACCTTCATTCGCCCGCAACTTGAATTCGCCGCATCGATCTGGTCCCCATACCAAAATTACTTAATCAACATGCTTGAAGTTATTCAAAATAGGGCAGCCCGATTTATCTCACGAAATTACGACTACCATAGCAGCATAACGGAAATTAAACTTTGCCTTTCTCTTCAACTATTGAGTACTCGGCGTGATATTTCTCTCCTATGCCTCTTCCATAAGTATGTTTACAGTAACAAACCATTCCCATTTCAACTCGATAAACCTTGCGTTACATCTCGTAGGTTGCATAATAACTTAAGTTTCACGCGATTATATGGGTCAACGGACGCCTTTAACTCATCGGCTCTTCCTCGCGTCATCCGCTTGTGGAATGATCTCTCGAATGACATTGCATATCAATCAGACCCTGAAAAATTCAGACAACTTCTTCACTCTTTCTTTCAGTCATAGACACTTCGATTGGTTCCTTTTTACAAGTATTTGTTGCACCTCCTGTATCGTTCCAGTGTAATTATATTCATTCATTTTTTTCCATTTCCTCCCGCTTACAGCTTAGGGCCTTGTGTTCGTTCAGTAAAGAGCACGCGCTATTTTTATTTTTCACACTTTGTGACCGCCTGCATTTTCCTACTTTATAATGTTCTTATACACACGAGAAAAACTCTCTTATCGCCCTTTATTATCCTGTATTTCTTAAACAAGAACAAATTGCTTTCTGCGCGCTGCTCTAAAATATTTTTGGCTACGTGTGTGCTAGGTGTTTTTTAGTAAGTGTATTGCGGATATTTGTTCTCCTCCCACCAGCAATGTTCCGATGTGTAATTTCAAATGACTTTTTGTACATTCTCTCTTTAGTGACATATAACGTTATTTCTTGTTGTGTTCTTTCAAAGTTTGATGTTTCCTTACGGTTTTGTCGTGACACTCACCCTTTGTAACCCCCCTTACACAATGCCCTGCAACAAGGGCCTGTAAGGTATTTTTAAATATAAAAAAAATAAGTCGGCAAACATAAGTGCACCTCACTCTGACTCAGTCAAGATACATCTCTTGCGTTTTGGTCGCACTCGGACTTAGACTCATTCAAATTTTCCTGAGTCAGACTCACTCATATCAAACTCGCCAGCATATTACTCACCCGGACATGCTCAAACTCAGACTCACAGTGTAATCTTAGTCTGAGTGAGTCAACTTATGAGTAAGTTCGCCGGCCTTTGCTGTTAGCTTCCCTTTCAATGATTATGGCTTGATCAACAAGAGCTGTGCTCCACGAGGGCAGCAGAAGGATGTTTTTCTCCTTATCCAGAATCAGATTCAGCCATAACTCTACTAAAGATATTTAAAACGCGATGTATTTAGTTGTGCTGAATAAGTTAATTCTCAAAGCTGCCTTAACCGTTGTTTTTTGTATTTGACATAATGGTGTAATTATAAGGCAGAATGGTGCTACTTTAGTATAATGTTAACAAGGTTGCAGAACTAATTACATGTTATGTTCATAACTGACAAGCTGCAGTCAATCACTAATGGTGAAAAAACTAATTACTATAGCTAACGGGAAAATAATGGTTCGTTAGTTGCTTAAAATAAAGTGTTGAAGCAAAATTAGTTTGAGGACTCATTTATTTGTTTGACACAATGTTCGTGAAGTCCCATTTTTCTTTTAGTTTTTATTAACATCACAATAAATCAGGAACATAAAAAAAAGGTAGGCACAAAAGGTGTGCAGAATAGTAATCAAAGTGCATACCAGTACAAACATAAATGGAAGACTTTACGATGTTACATCTTCACTTTGTTGCTGTTTGTGCTGTTTATGAGGTAGGGGTGCCATATCTCTCTAGGTTATTTAGATTTTCTGGGTAGCTTAAGATATTTGGGTTCATGGAGCCAAAGGTCACGAGGTCAATTCCCAGTTGCCGCAGTGGCATGTTGATGGAGGCCAATTGCTAGAGGTCGATGTGCTTAGTTGTATGTGCTCGTTAACCCCGTGTGGTCAAAATTTCCAAGGCCCTCCTCTACGGCATCTCTCATAACTATTTGGGTTTTGACACGTTAGACCCTGCAAATATTATTAGGATATTTGTGTTTATACCACCTCATTTGTTGGTAGTAACTCGACTTTTGACTGCAAGGCCTCTTTTGTACGACATTTTTTTTCGGCGACTAATCATCTGCTGGCACGAAGCAGCCAATGCAAAACTTGAGGGAAAATATGTAATTGGATGATTTCGACTGATTTAATTTTTAGCAATGTTTGTTTTTAGTGTCCTTCGAAGGATGATATCATCTCACCGGTGCAATTCACGTGCATCATACAGGACAATGTTTGTGCTGTATGATGTGGATAATCTGTAACTTGTTACTGAACATCATGAAATGTTCGAGCCATGTTTTGATGCATACATTGTGAGAGCTATGCACTTATGAAAAGTGATGGGCTGAACAACTTTATTGGGTAGTTTGAAAGTTGTTGTAATTTTTGTGTTATAAAAGCAGGTGATGAATGTGTTTACGTAGAGACCTCTAGCTTGATCATAACCAGTGTGTTTCCAGCTGCTCCACTAGTTACTGGCCTTTAGCCTCAGAAGGTCATTTGCGCAATAAGTATATTTGCTATATGGCAATGTGAAATGATGCATGACATGTAATATCAGGCTATAATGCATAATTCACTTCTTATACAAGTTTTGTTTTCCACTTGGTCCTCATACTGTCACTTATACCTTCACTGCTGTCCCTAATTTTTATGCTTTTTACAATAATTTCTTATAGGGGATAACAGTATAATAATTTAGTAATGATAATTTATTAATATGTTACAGGTTTATCAAAAGTAAGTGGCCACTCATTGTAGTAGCTCTTAAGGGACAGTAAAAGGCAACTCTGGTGAAGTATCCTAGTATTTTTCAGTACATGATTTGTCTTTTTGTGGTCAGGAAAGGTGGTGTAATACAAATCAAATCTCTTTATTGTGAAATTGTCTAAATGTGTAATAACCTTAGTTGCATACAACTTAGAACTGCACGGCATTTCCTCCTCAAACACAGATGCACACCAGCCTGTACCAATGGGTGTGCACTCCGGTAAGATATTATGAGCTGGGTGGCCGCTGGTTCCCCCTTCGGAGCACATCGTCACATGCATGAGCAGGACTATATTTTTAGTCACAGAGGTAATCGGCTGCTGTGCTTTGGTCCTCTTGATGGGTGAGGGGGCTTTTCTGAATGCTTTAAGTTATATCCAACTATGGCAATCATGGTTGGCACAATCATATAAGTATACATAACTTGCAACAATGTGCTATCAGTCCATTAGCACATGTTTGAAGTTGGGAGGTGCACTGATAGCAATGGCTGCATGCTGAACAATTGAGGAGGAAAAACAATGCTAAAAAACGGGTAACAACTAGTTAGCAGCTCGTAACTTCCTTGACTCGAAGCAGATCACTTGAAGTATTGACACTAAATTTTGAAGGCGAGATAACTTGTGTGATAGATTTATGTGGACACACATACATCAACTACAAATTATCAATATAGAATATAGTCCACAACTTATATAAAATGAATTTTAAAGTTTGATAACATTTTGATTTTAGTATTGAAAATGACAAACGCATGAGAGATGACAGTACAAGCGCTTGTCTTTCAACTCTCGTATGTTCATCTTTTAGCGCTAAACTCAAGCTGTAATCAAGTGTTCACCAACTCACTCAGGAAAAAGTTCTTATTAGGCAATTTCAAAGTGTATCCTATAAAAGTAAGGGCAAAATGGAGCCCCTAACCACATGTACATTAATATGGTTTTAATGTAAACAACCAAAAACCACCTATGTTATGAGTTTGTAGTGGCTGTCATGCTCCTGTGTACGGTGTCTGCCGCAGTTGTCAATATAGTACTTGTGTGGCCATCACCGTATTGTGTGGCCTTGTGGCCATCTGTGTTAACACAAAAAAACCAACTTGGTCTTGGTGCTCTCTAAAATTGAAAGTGCGACTGGGTGATATAAAACTGGCTCCAAATAATGAACCATGATATGCTTGAGCAAATGAGGTTTCCAGCTGCAATAAGTTGGTTATTAGCTACGTACTTATTGCAACCAAAAGGAACAAGATACAAAATTCTTGTGTCAATCCTTTTCTTGAAGGGACACTAAAATTAAACACTGAATTAATTTAGATTAAAAATTGTGCTCTAAAAACTATGATGTTAATTTCAGTTTCATAGGTTAACTGATAGGGAAGAAAACTAATGTTAAAGAATAATTTAAATTTGGCCCAGAAAACAATGCGCATAATTTCACATATTTCCAATCGTGCTTTTCATATTTTTGGCGACTTTGGCTCGATGAGATTTCCGAAAACTTGGTGTGTTAAGGCTATAGCCCTATCAAAGAGCAGTGGGATTAAGACCTGTGTAGTACCTGGCAGGTACTATCAAAATTCATGACATCCCGACATTTGATGCGAGAATATCTGGGTGGAATTTTAACCGGCATTTCCTTTTTGAAAGTTTTCTTACTAACCAAGCATGTTTTTGTGTCAAGCATAGTGATTTTGGAATGGTGCGAAACTTATTATTATGAGCAAAATTGTTTTTTTTCTCTAGTGTTCCTTTAATTTCTGGTGCAATGATTTCATAATGGTGTCTCGTAAATGCCAACACATTAAAAAAAAGTACTTGTTTGTAACTCTTTAATGACAGTTGGCTTTGTTGGTTTTAGATATCACACTTGGCCTCATAATCACACTGAGTGAAATAATCGCCCAGTTAAAACTTAACTGTTCACATAAAGGGTGTCTGTAGTTTGATGGGACAAATGAAATGCTTCAGTTGGCATTTGGTGTAGTCACGAAATCTGCTATAAAGCTTTACTTATTAGTTGTAAAAGAATGGCCTTACTGAGTGACCCTTAATTATCTGGAATGCATGTACATGATTAAGACTACTGCATCTAGAAAAATGTCGGGCTTCCCTTTAAAATTCTTGCGCTAGCATTGTGGTTTGTTCAAATTTCAGTAAGGTTAATAATTTAAATTTCAAACTTTTCTGCTCTATGTGTTACAAACACCATGAATTTTCTTCTTTTTTTTTGGGGGGGGGGGGGGGGCGGTCCAGTTAGCTATTTTTAATGGGATGTAGTAGAGCTAACTGGTCCCAACTGTGTTTGAAAGATTAATTGCTCCAGTGAAATATTTAAGTGTTTTTATTCTTTGCTAATTTGACTTTGTTGTATGTGTGCGTATTTGTGTATATATTATGACTGCATTTGCTTTTTGCTCCATGACAGTCAATGAATGCAGGTTATGGGACGCTGTTGTTGCCACTTTGCAAACGTTTTGTTGTGTAACAATGGGAATCATATTATAGGTGGCAGGTGAGAGAGCATGTTAATGG